AAGTGCCTACCATGTACCTGATCTTGAAAATAGAATTATTAATAAGACATTGGTCCCTGAGCTTGAAAACCCATCTTAAAATTAGTGGGTAGTGTGATTTTAATAACACACCACCCCTCAACCCTGGAGCAAACTCTTGATCAGAAACCTGAACTCTGTTAGGACCAGACTTATAATTTGGAAGGATCTGTTTTAGCGTTTACCTTTGTACCACTCTAAGAGTTCTCTCAAATGCGTCATAAAACAAATTATGGAGCTATATACCAGGCATTGTTCTAGGTGGGAGCTGAAGACCCATTAATAAGCAAAGTCCCTACCATGGAGCTTACATTCTAGTGATAGAGACAGACAGTAAACAAATAAACAGGTAACAGAGTACAGTCTGTGGTGTAAGTGTTACGGGAGTCAGCGCAAGAGAGGAAGTGGTGCTTTTCTACACAGTGGTCAGGAAAACACTCTCTAGTAAGGCACTTTCAGCAGAGACCTGAGTGAAGAAAACATCATGGGGACATCCTGGGAAAATACATTCTTAACAAAGGAAATAGCAAGTGCAAAGGCCCTGAGGTAGGAATACACTTGGTTTGTGCAAGAAACACCAGGGAGGCCAACGTGCCTCAAGTAGAATAGGCAAGAGAGGAGACGGGCTGAAGATCCCTGCAAGACTTGGATTTTTACCCTGTGTGAGACAGGAAGCCATTGAAGGGTTTGAAGCAGACAAGCAATGTGCCCTGATATTTGATTTGAAAGGCTGATTCTGCTGTGCCAAGAACAATCTATTGTGTGGCAAGGGTGGGAAGAGTGAGAAGTTAGAAGGCTAATTCAGTCATCTGAGGGAAAGGTTGTCATTGGTTAGACCAGAACTGGAGGCGGTGAGGAGCATTTGAGTATTTAGTTATCTATTGTTGTGTAACAAATGATCTCAAAATTTACTGGCTTACCACAACAAACATTGATTATCTCACAGATTCTGAGGTTCAGGAATCTAGAAAGGGCTTAGCTGGGTGGTTCTGGCTCAGGGTCTGCCCCTCATGTGTCTGCCTCATCTGAGGCCTTGACTGAGGCTGGAGGGTCCTCTTCTAAGAAGGCTCATGCACGTGGCTGTTGGATGTCAGTTCTTCACCACATGGGCCTCCTGCACTGAGCTTCCCCCGAGCCAGTGATAAAAGAGAGAGACGGGGGGACAAGAGAGAAAAGACAGAGGTTGCAGTGTCATTTATAACTTAACCTTGAAAGTGACATACCATCGATTCTGCCGAATTCTGTTGGTTGCACAGCTGACCTAGGTACAGTATGCGAGGGATTACACAAACGTGTGACTATTGGGAGGTAGCCATCTTTGGGAGTCATCTTGGAGGCTGCCTACCACAGTTTGGATTCTAGTTTTGTTGATGGATTGGATCTAGCATATAAGAGAGAAATGGGAACCAAGGATAACTACAGAATTTTGTCTGACTTTTGTGGGGGGATGGGGTGTGTAGGGGACCATCATATGCTATTTTGGGATATATTACATTTGAGAGCCTGTTAGATATTTAAGTGGAGATGCCAAGCAGGCAGCTAGATAAATATCTGAGTGTGGCGTTTCAGGGAGAGGTGCAGGCTGGAGATAAGGGGCTTGTTTATGGATGCCATTTAAAGCCAGGGACTCGCTCCAACCCCTCAGGGATTACAGGCAGACAAGAGAAGAGACAAGAGGGCTGAACCCTGGACCCCAGCATTTAGATTTGGAGCGATAAGGAGGAGCAGCAAGGAGACCAGGAAGGAGCCAGCGAGGCAAGAGGGAAACAAAGAGTGGGGTGCCCTCTGGAAGTTAAGAGAACATGTCGCCCCCAGGAAAGTGTTGCTGAGAGGCCAAAGGAGCCACACGAGTAGCCAGGTCCTGGTCCTCTGCCAGGCTGCCCCCAAGGGTAACCCAGATTTCCATAGACATGTCACCAATGTGTAGGATTTCAGTAGGAGAGGAGCTCTGGATGAAAAAAACTTGGGGGAGGGAGTCTTGGGACTATAACAAAGAGGGGATGGGAAAAACAAACACAGTCAAACATCCAATCCTAATGACACAGCAAACAATAATTAAGAGCTGGTTCTGTGTCATTCTAAGCTGTTCGTGTGTCAGGTCATGAATTCCCAGAGGCTACACAGAGTGACCATTTTATCCCCAGGTATCTACAGAGGAGGAAATGACACGCAGAAAGGGGAGGATGGGCCTGGGGTCACACAGCTGGAGGCAGCGTGGAGGTTCAAACCCTGGCGTCTGACCCAGGGGCCCCACTCAGTGCCTCAGTGCACCCCTCCTTCTGCTGCAGAGATGCCTTTGTGAGGGACTCCCCAAGAACCAAGGGGAGGAAGGGGACCAACAACAGTGTGGTTCAGTGTTTTCCCCTCTGCTGGGACTACAAAGCTGTAGGAGGTCTGAAATGTGAGACAGGAAGCTTTTGAATTTGCTAGGCCCATTTAATTTGGCATCTCAGTGCTGTTCCTGTAGACAGGCCACCAGGCAGCCCTGAGATGCGCCATTCTCAAAACTGCAATTTTAAAAGCCGGTTTCAGAAATAGTCTCAGAGATATAGAGGAAACACTGATGGTTGCTAGCAAGGAGAGGGGTGGGGATGAGGGAGAAGGGGAAGGGATTAGACAGCATAAATAGGTAACTACAATATTGCCACAGGAATATGAAAGACAGTTTGGGGAATATAATTAATAATGGTTTAAATATTTTGTAGGGTGTCAGGTGGTCACATGTCTTGTTAGGGAGACAACTCCATGGACGGTGTAGATGCCTGACCAGTGCACTGTACACCTGAAGCTGATGTTGAATAATATTGCATGTCAACTATAATTTAATATATATATATATATATATAGTCACGGGATATGGAGTATAGTATAGGGAATAATCAATGGAAGTGTAATAGATATATACGACGTCAGAGAGGCAATAGATTGGGGAAAGGGGGTTATCGCTTTGTGAGGGGTGAAATGTATAACTAGTACATTGTGTTGTACACCTGAAGCTAATAAATAAATTTTTTAAAAAAAAGGCCTGTTTGGGTGCACTCCTTGTCTCTCCAGGCAGGAGGGCTCACCAGGGAGTCAGGCCTCAGCTGACTTAAATTCTCACTTTATTGCCCATTCTTCCAAGATCAGGAAAACCCACAAGTGGTTATCTGGAAGCTGATGGTGCCCCACCCCCACCCCAGTATCTTATCAGGGGGCGGGGTTGTTGGAGGTGCATGGGGAAAGCAAGAAACAGGTGAGGATTTGGCCCTTAATCCTCTACCCAGAACACAATGGCCCCCAATCTGTCCGGCTCAACCCCCATCTCCAGGGTTTTGTGGGAGTCAATCAGAAAATCACGTGATCTCTCCACAAATATTCCACACTCACTAGAGCTATAGTCTGGACTAGGTACAACAGGGCTCAGAAAATAAAGTGAATCATAACTTGAAAATGAAAAGTGCTTTCTAGAAGTCTATTTTATAACCATGTATCTGTGCAGAAACATGTCTATTCCACAATTAAATAAGGAGGGGAAGGCCTGGGCCGATTATTAGTCAATGAAATGTGGACAGCCTTTCTTCAACATAGTTCTTTTTAAGCCAATAGTGAATTTTATAAATACTTGCTATAAAGAAATTAACGAAATAAGACGTGTACAACATCAGGAATGAAAAACAATCCATCCAGACATTTAGCTGTTTAATATTTAAGGAGAAAAAAAAACAATCAAACCTACTCTCTTTCTAGAAAAAGAACTATTACATGCTATGTTAAATAATAGAATGTTTTTTAAAAATGTTATCAAAGATCCACCCAGAGTATGCCTTTTAGAAGTAAAATTAACATACTTTATTTTCAACTCCCAATTATTTTCAAGTCCTAGCAATGTCAGTCATTAGCTGTGGGACCCTAGAAAGTCACACCCATTCTGGATCTCATTTGCAAAATAGGGATAATACCATTTACTTCACAAAGATTTTGTAACAATAAAATGGGAGCATGTATATCAAAGTGCTTGATGTTAATATTAATAATATTGTTAACTATTAATAAAATAAGTGCCTTCCAGCTCTAAAATTTTATTATTAAGAAATAATTATTGGGGGCCGGCCGAGTGGCTCAGTTGGTTAAGAGCTCGCTCAAGAGTTTGAGCTCTGAGCAACAGCGGTTCGAGTCCGGCCCGAGCTGAGCAGCCGCTGAGCTGCCAACAGGTAGCAGGATGGCTCAGCTTAAAAAAAAAAAAAAAAAAGAAAGAAAGAAATAATTATTAAAGACTTTAGTTAAAGAGAGTCCTTTCAGAGACACATACTGAGGTAGTTTAGGATTAAATGATGTAACAACTGAGATTTGCTTCAAAATAATCCAGTGAAAGCAGTGGGTTTATGTACATTTTTAGACACATTTTGAGTATTGTAAAAGCTGGGTTATGGGTACGGGGAGTTTTTTTAAAAAGCAGTTTTGTCTGCTTTTTAACGAGTGAAATTTTCACATTGAGAAGGAAAAAAGCATAGGCGAAATTGGAGGACAACTTCTATCATTAAGTCCAAGTATTTACTTGATAGAGACAGCTTCTCAAGCAAACCTTGACATTGAAAGAAATGGTAGTGATTTTAAATGAATGCCAAAATACATAAGAATTGAAAGATTTGATTATTTGATTATGTTTTTGAGTAACCTTTTAATTTATTTTTAACTAAAGGAAACCCATTATAATTAAATATTATAGCAACAAGTTATATTCACATGACTTAAGATTATTATCGGAATCTACATGTAACCTGGAATCTTAAACAACTTATAATTTTCCCCAAAGAAATTTTAGGCTACGTAAACTATTTTCTATTTAAGAACCCAATGTTCTACTCTACCTGCTGTATCTAATTAAGCACATAATGACACATCAATTTGTTAAATGATATCTTTGATACTTCTCAGATAGAATTATCACTAATTAAAGGGAACTTAACAGCAGTAAGTACATAACACGTTCCCTTTCTTACCTTGAAGATGTGAATTCTCTAGGAAGTTTTCATGAGATTCTTTTGCTTCTCCAGGTTTTGTTGATCGATACTCACTCCTCAGAGAGATCTTCCACCATCTAAAGATGACCTGTGATTGAATAGAAGGTGCTATGAGTTAAAAATGATTTCAACAGCAGCAGCTACCAGTCGGTCTGGGGTTCTGAAAAATCACTCGGGCAGGCACGTAAGGCCATATGTCCATCATCAGCTATAACTCTGCAATCCAGCATCACATCAAAATAGAAGTGAGGTCTGTGCATCCGTGAGCATTGTCCTTAACAATTACGGGGGCACAAAATCAAAGTGTGAGAAGGAATCTTAAAAATCTATAAAATCAATTGATGTTAAAACCACCCAGAGCCCAATGGCTGTTTCTTGAAGATCTCTGAGAATACACATTCTCTAACTCGGAGAGCTAATTCCAGTGTAATTGTTCCACCTGCTGCCTCCCTTCCCGCCAATAGGGCAAGACAGGATGAGTGGATACTCTTCTCCTACAGAGCAACCGTGACATAGACAAGACCAGGGAAAACACCATTATGCATTGTTTGATGCATGAAAGTGTCATTACAAAGGATGCTTCTTGGCAATCGATCTGCTGATAGGCCATTTGACTTCTATGAGCATTTTGGTTTACCTGAAGCAAACCTCATTTCCATGGCTACCGACTGCACCATGATGGAAATCAATGTTGCTTTCATGGCAGTGTCAACTACCAGGCATGATGAGAAGCCCCTCGAAGCTTTACCAACTTATCTCATGCTTTTCGACCACTGGGTAGTTAATAGAGATGACAAAACTCCAAAGAACTTGAGCAACAAACCAAACTATTTCTGCACTAGGCTACAAGGAAAGATGACTAAGGGGACGAACGTGCAGAGAAACTGGTTGGCTTCCCAGCTCTGGGTTCCTCCCCCACTAGCATAACCAGGAAAGACACTGAAATTACATTCAGGGAGGCTCTGCCCAAAGCAAATTTGTTAAGCTGAGGAAAAGTTGCTACGGGCCCTCCCTTTATCTAGTTTCCTGTTCCCCATCCCCACCCACCCAGCAGTCCCTGGGGTCCTCATAGACCCTGGGTGCACTTTTTTTGGCTACTGCCCTGGTCTCTACCAGTTTGCAAATCCCTGTTCCTAGGGCCTTCGTGGTGCTGGTCTGGGAACCGCAGGCTTTGAACTACCATTCTCCTTCTTCCTTCTCCTCACTCCTATCCCCCTGCGCGCAGACCCAGGCCTCCGCCAGCTTTCCTCTCCTTCTAGAGCTGCACCCCTCTGCCCTATTACCCGCTGAGGCCCTGCCTCTTGGCCACTCCCCTTTCCTGATGTCTGAGTTCTGAGGGGGGTAGCGACTTTTTACACCATCTTTCCTAGTATCCTGCCCAACTGAAACTAAGTCCTCAATAAATACTTGTTGAATGAATTAAAAGGTGGTCTTCATTTAGATTTTTGTTCTAATCACTAAAGGAGGTGAGAAAAAAATGCATGCGTAAATGACAGAACGCTGTAATCTCACGAAATCGTGGCAGCTGATTCTTTTCAGAAAATCCCTTAGCCTGTCACTTTTGATTTTCCCAAGAATGAGCTTCACCAAAATTGTCCTCTTAAGCATCTTTCTGTCCCAGCTCATGGCGGTGAGGGCATATCAGTCCCTAGAGCTGCCACAAGAAAACACCAGAAACTTATTTCCTCACTTTTCTGGAGACCGGAAGTCCAAGATGAAGGTGTTGGCAGGTTTGGTTTCTCCTGAGACCTCTCTCGTTGGCTTGCAGAGGGCCCCCTTCTCACTGTGTCGTCACATGACCTTTCCTCCATGCACGTGCATCTCCAGTGTGTCCCTTCCTCCTCTTATAAGGACACCAGTTCTACTGGATTAGGGCTCCATCTTTACAACTTCCTTTAACCTTAATTACCTGTTCAAGGGCCCTATCCCCTAATACAGTCCTAGGGAGAGTTAGGGCTCCCGTGTGGGAATTTTGGAGAGACACAATTCAGTCCATAACAGAGGGATATTAAGTATTAAAGTAGAAAAAAACATGAACTTTGGAGCGAGGCAGGCCTACCTGATTTCTTTCATTTCTCTGCACTTCAATGATCCTTTTCATCCTCTATTAAATATCATTAAAATTAATAATAAATATTATAAATAATATTTCCTTTCTATTGAATGATGATGCCAGGCAACCTGAATCTTATGTTCTTTATACCACATAATCTAGGACTTTTAGAACTTATTGGGCAGACAGAAATAATTTAGTCCCTCCACAACTCAGATAGGTGAGCAAGAAATTTCAGAGTGGTTAAGTTAGAAGCAATAGGTCTCCTTCCCTACAACCTTGCTACCAGGTGTAATGTTACAATGAAAGCAAGTCTCAGATTGAATTCTGCCCCAAGAAAGACATTTCTCCCCAGGCAGGCACCACAAGGGTCTAAAACATGTTCCTAGAAGCTGAGTGGAATCTCCCTCACTGTCCCAAAGGGCTCTCTATGGGAACCTCCCCAGGGAAGTTGCTCTCTGGGGCAAACGTACCTATATTATAATGACACGACCAGCTACCCTTCTAGCCACAAGCTACTCAATCCTTGATTAAGTGGAGGATTCGGGAACAAACGGGGTTCCAGATAGAGCGCTACTCCAGAAACATTATGTAACCCAACTTCTTATGTTGCTCAAAAAAAGGCAGAGAGACACTTATACAGTCTTACTTGTCAGCCTCATATCTTGCACATCATTAAATTATTTCTGACATTCCTTATACTAATTAATGAACCCTCCGGTACTGGTTTAGAAGGCAGTATCTGAAGTGCTTGCTGTAATGGCCTCTTGAGGGAAGAGCCTCAGGGCACAGAATCAAGCTAACTTGCCCACATAGATAAGCATCCTGCTGGCTCCTCTGAGGTATTTAAAGGGAATTACTGAGAATATAGCACTTGCCTAAGGAAATGGCTGGCTAGAACCAGGATCCAAGCCTCTCCCTCCCTAACTCATAAACGTAGGGTTTGTTCTGAGGCACGAAGCTTTCTTTATCTACAACCTTCATACTACAACTCTACAGAGCAGTACACAGAAATCTGATATTCAGAATCACAACTTAGCTTTGTCAAGACTCGATTACGTTCCATATACTGTACTTACTGAAACAGAAAAATGTATGAGACAGGTATTTTCTACCACTTATTGTCACTCAGATTGGTAAAGATTTTCTTTTAAACGATAAAACTCAATGTGGGTGAGGAGAAGAAAAATGGGGCCCTACTAATCATTTAGAGGAGTGTAAATTGGTTAGGCAACGCCTATCAGAAATCTTAAGGTCATCCATGCCCTTCGACTCAGACATTCTATTTGTAAGAATTTATCCTAAGGAATTTATCAGAGATGTATACAATTTTTTTTTATATAAGAATGTTTGTCATAGGGTAATTATGATAATGAAAAATCAGAACCAACCTAAGGAGCTGATAGTTGGAACTAGTTAAATAATTATGGCATATCTAGATGCTACAATACTTTGCAGTCAATAAAATAATTTGTGAAAAAATAACAACATAGAACAACATTAATGATCATTTTTATACATTTCCAGTAAATCTTTTCAATAAACTTGAAAGTTGAGCTTCCTTTTAAAAGAGAGGTCTAAGATTTCTCATTAATCCCCCCAGTATCTCTTCTGCACAAATTATTAAGGAAAGATACCAAGACATTTGTCATTCACCCAGTGAAGGCCCTAAACCTTAAGTCCTTTTCCCCACCTAGGCAGCGACTCACTAGGCAGCCCTCGAGGAGGGCATTGGGAAAAAATGGGCCCAATTGGGCATCTCTGCATTTACATATATTTGAACAATGCACACGCCCACCCCTGGTCTGAGATTGTGACATTCTCACCACTACCTCCAGCTGAAAAATCCTGCCACAGGGAAAGAAAGCAGAGAGTCTGGGGTTAGATGGGTCTGGTTTAAACTCTGGTTTCTGTCTTTCACAGGATTATACCCTGCAACATTTCTTAATCTCTTTTGGTCTCAATTTCTTCATCTCGAAAATGTACATAATGATGAGGCTCATCTCACTGAATTTTTAAGAAATGACATGAGATAAATCCAAAGTGTCTAGCACAAAGCCAGATACATGGACTCTGCTCCACAGAGGTAGGTCCTTGCCTCTTTCTTTCTCCCTTTCCCCCTTGCTCACTCACTGGTCAGTCCTTCATAGTCAAAACAACAAACTCAGCCCCATATACCAAGATATTGGAACTGTGTGTTTTTTCTCATCAATTATCTAACAGCATTCAATCACACTTCTTCAAGGTCTGCTTTCTTAATTACATTCTCAAAAGATATTTATTTCAGCTTTTCACTCAGACTTGGTATTTGCTTTTTCTAATCACCAATCATCTTTAAGAATTGAACGCTTTTTGCTCTAAGTATTTCCCCAACAGCATAATTAAGAAGAGTCATCCATCTATCCACTTAATAAACAAAGTTGTTCGTGAAGAATTAGGGTGACTTGCCAGATACCACATACTACATGGGGCATTCTGAATTTTCCTAAACACCTGTACAGGGAAGACATTTGTAATTTAGCACACAAAATCATCTCTGCTCGCTCCTGCAGACTATTGTTATTCTAGCAGATCAAATTGCTCCCTGTTTTGGAAAGCATATATAATTAGGGGATTTCACAGAGCGTGGTTGAGATACTGTGTCATGGAGAGTTTATGAAATTAGATCCTTTATTAAATGAAGAAGGATTTTGTTATCTGAGCAGCCTACTGAGAAATGGAGAAGAAAGGACAGCAAGGGTGAATTGCATGTGAATTTACTTTTTGATATTACTCAAAAAAGCACAGAGCTTTGGCATTCTAAAGGGTAGAAAGACATTACTTTCTTAATGAGTTATGAAGATTTATTTTACTGCCTATTTAAACTATAAACATTAATGATGTGTTTTTGGTGCAAATTCACAACATCAAATATATGTTCCTTTATGTATTTGTGTTTGGTTCAATTTGTTTAAACACAGCAAAACTTAGATTTTCAGGTATCAAAAGTTTTACTCTGGAAATGGTATAGTACTTTTTATATATTAGGAATAAAG